CACTCCGCCTCGTGTAATCTTATTCGGAGTTTAAGGTTAATTGGCACGGCCCCGCGCGCTTATTTACATCCGCGCGATCGCGAATCTGCTGGCCGGGATTATCGATCGTAAATTACACCGTACATTGTACGCCAGCCGGATCGCTCGTTTCGCTAACAGCGGACGATAATACGATCCTCCATTGACTCTGGTCATCGTGAAACGGGCATTTTCGCGTCTCCTCGTTCCGCTTGCCAGATTAAGTCACGAGAAACGTCTTAATTCGCAGTACCTCTCGAGTAGCCGGTATATATATCTCTCTTGACATTTCACGATGCCTTACGATTCAGCGAAATTTTTACCAAGTTCCTCGGGATTCCTTCTGGATAAAAATATATTTGCGACTAATACAATGGATACTTGTACTAGCGTATACTAACGCTACGAAAGGCTTCCGTGTGACACGTATTAACCCTTTGCACTCGGCAATGTTTTCGTTACAGGAAAATAGTGATTCGAAGACTTTTTCTGCCATAAGGTCAACGATATTTTTAAAACGGTAAATAAGAAATCGTATGCAATTTAAGACGTAGAATTACTTTAATTCGATATTCCACGCATCGTTGGGTAATTATAAATTTCATATGTTAACCCTCTGCACTCGACGACTTTTTGGCTAAAGAAGAGTAGAAATTCAAAGATTCTCTACTAAAAGCTGACGATACTTTTTTGAGCAGCGAATAAAGAATTGTATAACAATAGAATTGTACAATTATTCGATTTCGATACCTCGCACACTGTCGCGTTACATTAAATTTGATGTATTAATTAATATCGATCTTTCAAATTTTATGAAATGGTGAGACTGAAGCTCGCCTCTCGAGTGCAAAGGGTTAATTAACATCCATCTTTAGAATCTGATTAAATGGTGACTGAGGGGCGCCTCTCGAGTGCAAGGGGTTAATTACTGTCTAAATAATACCGAACAATGTAAAGAAAATTCCTGTAATGCAACATCGTGTCATTCGCTATGATTCTGACCCAGGAACCGCAGATAAGTGGCGTATCTGATCTTTGCCCGCTATCGTTGCCCACCGACAAAGTTCGAATCGAAGATAAGGCAACAAACAAGACTCGCATATTTAAAGGTTACCCGAGAAGCGTTCGTACTTTCCATTCGCGATTCGAAGCCAGCCTACGGATCTTCGGGCCACGTTATCCCGGGTCTCGTGCTACCTACGACACCACCAGGATGCAACAGAGAGGGAGGCGAACTGGAATTGGAGCGGGTCGAAATGGAATCGGAGTTTTCGCTCCTCGAATTGCACTCGTTTCGAAGCTTCCAAAGAAGGTTACGACGAGCGGTTAAACTCGATCGGCGAATAATTAGGGGCGGTTAGGCGACAGGTACCCCGCTTATGGCTCGATCATACGAGACGTGACGAATGGCGCGAGTACGCGACAAATCGACGCGGCGATGCGTCACGAGGCGTGGATCCGCGTTCGATCCGTCCACGTGTGTTTGTTATCGCGAGCGGAAATAAAAATAATGCGAATGCGCGGCCTGTATGACATCAGCCGACCGATCGATCCGTTTTGCATGATGATGCATGAAGCGCATGAATGCCGCGCGAGAGTGCAGCCCGGTGTCATCATTTGGGTGCGGGCGCTGCCAACTGTGGCTCCGTTCGGATTCTTGCGGCCAATTAAGCGGCCAGATGCACTTTGCGCTCGATCGGCCACGTTCATTATTCGCGGGTAATTGCGTGAACGCGAGTTCGCCGATTCGACGCGAAAACTTCGACTGTTGGCGGAAATTGAATATTTCTTTTCCTTCCTTTTCGTAATTAGAAAGGTAAATAACGAGGTCGTATAAGTGAGGCAGTGAAAGCTTGCTTATCCCAACATTTTTCCCTTTTCCTTTTCTCTAATTAGCAGAGGGGATACAAAGGTAGTGTAATGCGACAGGAGTCTAGTTGTGTCATCTAATGTCTTTTTTCTAAATTGATACAGGAGATGCGAAACTTGTGTAATTATAGTGCATGTTTGAATTACGCGATCCGTCTAAAGGTGAAATTTATGTGTGCAAATAGCGAGTTTAAATGAAAGTTGCGATTCTGCGGGGTTAACTGGAAGCTTTGGTGAACTCGTCAATTTTCATAGGCTTGGCACATGTCGCAAAGGTCAATTTTTCCAGTAACTTTTCACTCTGCGTATAAGCCAGGAGTTGATCGATTAACTGAAGTTCCCGAGGTGTTAGGAAAATTTTGTTGCAACTACTACAGCGAATTTTGCCCGTGAGTGTGAATCCGTGAGACTCGGGGACACAAGTGGCAGTTGCCTGCCACATGTTCGTTGCACCATAGATGCCTGACGGGAAATAGATTATTCGTGTTAAGATACGCAATGTAGAATAATAGTAGAGAAAGAATTTTGCCGATATGTCGGAAAGTGAAAGGAAAAGATTGAAAATCCATCATTTTGACGAATTTAGTAGTCGATAGGCCGAGTTGCGCGATAAAGCTTCACTGATTCCTCGCTGCTACACTCGAGTTCAGGGAAAATGAGTTTATGCTCGAACGAAGGAGGCGCGTTAAACTGTCGTTAATTAAAATTTCGTTTCGATAAGTAAAGTTGAGATAAATAAAGCTGTAACAGAGAAGCGAAGAGGTATTTACGAGTAAATGCATGGAAGGTGAGCGTCTCGAACGTCCGTGACTTCTCAATCGGTAAATTAGCAGGATACTAAATGTCATTCCGTACGGCAACGAATTAATTTCGCATTTGTCTTGAATGCTAATGAGACAGAATTTTTTCCCCGTGCTTTGCGACGTAGAAAATTTTCAGTCACGCTTATTGCGAGTTTCGCTGGCCGCTCGAGTTGGCACTCGTAAATTCTGCAACACCCGGTGCTCTGTGCGTAATTACGATAATCAGACCGCGCTTTATGGCCGTCAAAGGCAAAATTGCGCCTTGTCAGTGGTACCATAATGTCCCGGCCGAGGCGACGTCAGTGATAAAACCGCGAAATACGGCTGTAAACGTAAATAAAATCGAATCTCCGTGCCGGGGAAAACACCGTCGAGCAAGTGGCTCTACGAGCGTACCAGCGATGGTCTAACGTGCGTCAATTCAGTCAGATTGCCTTCGTCGTTAACGACCGTTTTGCTCGTAACGACTACTAGCTCGCTGTCAAACGAACGGTTAATATTTTCGAAACGATCGGGCGACGAAAGTTTATCGAAAACTGACAGTTCAACGATAGCGTAAAGCGTGTCTCGAACGATGATCGCGTGGGGTATAGGATCATGCTACGCGTTACGCTTTGAAAGCGAGTGCTTTGAATTGTACGTTGGTGAAATCATCGAAGCAATTTTTGGATATTTCAGTACTTACCTAAAAATAGTAGCTAGGTTAGCGTTCGAAATACGGAAGGTTTACTTAGAACCGATTGACTCGGTGGAAATGTGGAGAAATTATCATTGAAAGTAGATTTGAAACCTATCTATTCAAATGAAATAGCTGTGATTAACTCTGAAAGCAGAAAACCCATTGAACAATTGGACCGATATACTGGAGAAATTAATATCGGGAATGCAGGAAATTCGTTTAAAATTTATCGACTCGATTAAAGTAGCATTCTCGTTCGCGCGAGAGACGCGAATAATTAATTCGAAAGCTATCGATTCGACTGAAATAATAGCGAGATTACAAAAGAGACAGGTTCGCGCGAAACAACCTGTAGCCTCTGAAACGATATCGAAATCACCATGGACAATGCAAGTCCACGCGAAAGTCATCGACGCGACTTCGAGATAATCTCGAAGCTGGTCTAAGAAACACGGAAAAGTGATTTGAAAGCCATCGACGCGACTGGTATAATACGGTAGTTACTCTAGGAAATGCAGAGAATTCATCGGGAACCTATCGATCGAGGTAATCGCGGTGCAGTCGGCGAAGAGAATTCTGCAGCAGCCGGTTGGTTCCGTTAGGAATGCCTAGATCGTAAGCTGTCCACTGGTCTATTCTCGCAGACCTAGGGAACGTATCGTCAATACGATCTACGAGACGACTTCGCGATGTCCGCGTTCGACTTTGGTTGCACATTTTACGTCTATGTTTAGACCTGGTCCAGCTGACGTCGATAAACTGGGCCGAAGTCCGACCGCTTCCGTAACGTACATCGTCGTCGCAAAAGATGATCTCTTTGGTCGTCATTCCCGACGCTCGGTGTCATGAATGAATACACCTTTCCGAGTCGCGAAGCCTGCGACTTTGGGTCTCGATCTCCGTTCATTCCAACCAATTTGCCTGATCGATACACGCGATTAGAGAGGCCGTCTAACCTCGTCCTCGTCGTTGTTAGGATAGGCCCAAGCTTATCCGGAACGTGGCGTTTAACAATTGTCGATCATCGGTTTCGCAGAATTCGCGCATCTGTTTAGCCGCGCGTTGCAGCCCCGCGAGGATGGAATAAATTTGCATTAACGAGGTTCGCAGGTGGGCTGTCGAGATACCAGATTTAGATGGGCCAATGGCAAATTGAGATTAGCCGTTTAGGAACGGTCGTGATTCACCGAGACGTTCCGTTCGTCGCAACAAAGACGAAACGCGTGCTGAGGCTTAGTCAGGCTGTTTTACGTTCGTTAAATAAAGTCGTACGTTTCCCGGTATCCGACAGGTGACAACTGACTCGGATCGTTCAGATACGCTTAATCAGATTTCGAAGATAGATGGACCTTGACTGCGAGAGGAAGCATTCCTTTGGGCCGGCCATTATCTCGCCACAATGCTCGCGTGTCTTCAATCCCGGATCGTTTCATTACCTCGCCTCTTATCGTCTTATGAATTCCTACCTTTCACTCTTATCTCCGACAAACATAAATTCTAATTCCGATCCGTACACCTATCCCCGATAACGCGTAACGCATCGTTGTTTATCGCGAGAAATAAAATCTTCGAGCCGGGAAACGTGTCTTTTTCTAGCTCCTACGTAACCGTCTTCCCTCTTCTGTTCACAGATGTGGCAATTAAGGTTTTGGATGTACCTGCTGCTGATAGCGTTATCACTGGCGCCAGTGCAGAGGGTCGCGGCATGTAGCTGTATGAGCAGTCACCCCCAAACGATGTTGTGCAATTCAGATTTCGGTAAGTCTCGAGGATTTTCCGTGCGCGAATTTCATCTTCTCGCGTACTCTGTCCAAACCTGCTCATTACAGTTTTCTTCCTTTTCATTCGCGTCTAGTCGCCCTCGTGAGAGTGAAGAAGGCCACGCACGTGAACAGGGACGAAATCGGGTACAGCGTGAAGATCAATAAAATCTTCAAGGTACGTATGCATATGGAAATTTCGCGAAATCGTAGCATCGTTTACGCGAGATGATCCTGGGACGACGTACTACTATACGCGATCGCTCTTTCGCCAACAGGTGAACACCAAGTCATCGTACACCGTGCTGATGAAAAATATTTTATGGACCGCCTCGTCGGAAGTTATGTGCGGAGTACACCTTAAAGTCGGGGAAACGTACGTGGTAAGCGGGAGTGCGAATGGACGTGATAAGGCTCACATATCACTGTGCGGCATGTCGATGCCGTGGCGTTTGGTGACGAGCAGACAGCGAAAGGGCTTCAGACTGCTGTACCGTTTCGGTTGCTCGTGCAACGTGAGTAAAAGTTTCGAGATCGGGAACACCGATCTCCCGTCGGCGATTTGCATTTCGTTCGTTTAAATCACGCCACGTGTTCGTTTCGTGCACTTCAGATCTATTACACGCCCTGGTGGACGAAGGGAGCAGCTCTGGAGAACACGGACGGCAAGGAATGCCTGTGGGAGAGCAAACCAGGCCCGGAAGAGTGCCAGAGGGATTACGGGGTGTGCATGCCGGGACAAGGCGGTTGCTACTGGGTTCCATCCGTGCCTTACAAGAACTGCATCAAGGAGTATCAGCAGAAACGCGAGCAACAGAGAGCGCGGGAGCCTTAGGCTGTTAGGCGTACACGAAAGTTCTACGGTTGAACGAAGATCGATCACGCTGGCGAAAAATCGACGTCGCTCACGCCAGGTCGCACGTAGCACGCGTCCCGATCTGTCACGCGTTTGTCAAATTTCGCGTATGCCTCCAGTAAGGATGCTCGTTAGCAACGAGCGCGAGCGGCCAGCTGCTGCGACGACGTGGCAGCAGACTGCCGCTACACCGTGTGAACACGTCGATAAATTAATGCTATCCCGTCTAGACGACGCGTAGTTATTTAAATCGACCGCGACTAATCAGCGTCGTCGTCGTCGAGTAAAATGTCCGCGACGATTAAGGATTGGAAAAATTCTACGAGCGAACTAGACGTCGGCGGAGGACGGTGTCAGCGTATTTGTTCGGAGGCGTAGCATTAATTTCCCCCTACAACGTAGCGTTTTCATTTCTGCATCGTGTCATGCTCTATTTATTGTTGCGTTCCATCAGAAGTATTAATCGGGTGGTTGTGTCGGCGAGTACAAAAGTCGTTCGTTAATTAAACACGAAGCAGCGAATCGAGTGGTGAAAATCGTGCACGACTAGTTGGGAAGCTGTCGTTCAGGGGTATAAATATAGACCGTCGAACTCTTGAAACTGCTTGCATTTCCATGATAAATTACTTCCTCGACGTTTCGAGGTCTGTTGCATCGCGTTTCTATTAATGCACTTCTTTCCCTGTCTTCCCTACCTTTCTTTTCCTACCTTTAACCGGTCGTCGATAGTATTTATTACCGGCAGTTGCCTTCTTTTCGCATCCGAATAGAATCGACGATCGTCCACGAGCCAACCTATTCGACCAACCTAATTGATTCCCGTCCAGACGAATTAACCTACGAACGATCCGCGTATCGAAATTTCTCACTTTTGTACCGTTAAACGCCGCTATTAACCTTGTTCGCGTTTAATCGATTCGGCCGAGCTAACTCGGGACCAGCGGGTGCACACGATTGGCCATCTCTTTAGTTGTACATATTAGGCTATCGATGTACATTATACGTTTTTTAAATTATTCTCATTTCTCATTCTCGTTTGTACGTAACTTTGTCCTTTCTCCGTATAACAAGCCGCTGAAACGTATTTAATTTTTAGCCAAGCCTTGTATAGGTCTCCGAATACCGAAATAACGTAACGATCGAGTTTGTCCTTTCGAAGAGAGAACGCGTGTCACAGTATTAAGCAACGACGACGGTCATGACTCTGTCAGTGAGAGAGAAAGTGCGCAAGAGAGAAAGAGAGAGAGAGAGAGAGAGAGAGAGAGAGAAAAGAAGAAATTCGGTTTTCTTTGCAACGTTTACGTTCTCTCGCTATTCGGATGACGCACGAAGTTGCTAGGCGTCGTGTTAGAAATGTTACAATCGAGTTAGGTTCCTTAAACTATAAACTATGTATCCGAGCGTGATCATATCGTTTTCTCGGCGACAGTAACGAGAAACGGAGGCCCTGCACGTGGGTAGAACTTTAGTATAAAACACTAAAATCGTTGAAAGCGACGCGACGGAGGTTAGCTGGCATTTCCTAGCTTGAGAACGTAACGCGAAACGATGTATGTTAGTCTTAGTTCTTCCATTTGATAACTTTTGTAAGTATTATGATACTTAAACGATGGGAAATAAACGAGAAACGTGTAATTCGTTCCGTGGACACGGCGCGTTAATTGAATCATTCGGTTACTCACCATTTCGCGATGATTGGGGTAGTAAGTTTGATCTATCAGAGGGAAATTGTCCTTCCCAAGGCGACGCTGAAGTCCCAGGAGGTGCGCGAACACCCACGGTTTGTCCTGAAAGCGCAAGTACGATTAAGAAACCCGATTTCGCATCGAAGTTATCTCCATCGAGTATGTATCGTATCGAATCGTGACGAATGTACGACGTTCGTACCTGAAAGTTGTAGATCGCGGTGAGATTGTTGACGCTCGGGATACCGCCGTACATGAATCCGAGAAGAAGGTTCTTGTAGTCTTCTCCCGCGTCCCTCAGGTTCTGTCGTACCAGGACGAAATCAGGCTTGAAGGATCTACCGACGAAATTTCGTTCACTTCTCTCGCGCGATAAATGATAAACGAAGAGTGGGAAAAATCGTTTACCGGATGACTTTGGTCCCGTTACGATAAACGGCCATGGACACGATGGTACCAGCCTCGCTGGCCGTCAGGGACAATTCCCGAAATTCCGCCTGCTCCACGCGAATCTCGTAGTCACCGTGCAGCCTGCGACCCCGGAAGTACTTGCTCCAGTCGGTGTTCTGGTCGTCGATAACCAGCAGGGTGAAGCATCGATCTTTGTTGTAAGACGGCCCTCTGGTCGCGCTCGACACCGCTGCTCCCAGGATAGATGCACCCTGGTCGTGATTAAAATTTATACAATTAGCCGCCATGCTGCTCCCCATCGGCTTACGGTCGCAGCTTCTAACGCTCCGGAAGTTACACGCCTCTAATGGGATAACGAATACCGAAGAGATTGATGGCATTCGGCGCACGCGAGTGCCTGCATATTTCCTCGAAAGCATTAGACGGACCGCGTATCGCGTTCAGCATGCAAGAACGCAATTCTAGCCCCAAATCTGGCTCGCTCTATCAGCGGATTTGCTCCGCACGTTATGTACGAATGTAATCCGACTGAAAATGAGTAACCATATACGAGTTTACGTACATACATCACGCGTATTACACATTCGTCGAATGAAAATTTCAGACAGAACACGTTCGCGGAAGTACTCGCGATTGCTTCTATACTGGGTGGAAAATAACTTTGATCGCCCTCAATATCTTTTCAGAATATTTCATGGACGAACGTTGTACAGCGTGGGAGGAGGGGTTGTTACGTGCAAATTGCAGCTTCTTCGGTTTCTTTCTAACAATACCAGCCTTTCTATAGACCCGATGATCTTAATGGTTCCAGGTAGAAGAATATTCCGATAACAGATAATAGGATTAACCGAAGAGACTTCGTTATAGCAAAATTATCGAGGAGATGGGCGAATGCACAATGCGACCTACTGATCGATTAGTGACAGGTCACGGATAAAGGGCAAAGAACGCGTCTGATCGAATCCTCGTTTAATCCCATTATTATCGAACGACCTGATATTACGAGACGTCGAAGAATAGATTAGGGTAGGCACGAAAATTTTAAATCTGTCAAAGCACTCCACCCGTAAAGGAATTACAATTTTCGCGTTACCCATAGAATATCCCGTGCTGTACAATTTTCGTCCACAACCGTGTACGCCTCTAACGCGTGGCTGTACTATTTAATTTCCAATGGCCTTACCATAACGTCGAATAACGTCAACAAGAACGTCGGGCACGTCGAGACACGTCGAGACACGTCGGACACGGCGAGCCACTTCGACCGTTCGTGGCGAATAATAACACGTAACTGAGACAAAGACATCGGCGAAAATTGACCAGGAGCCTGAGCCGCGATGTTTACATCGTTACGAGGCCTATCTCGACAAACCACGCCTCTGGCCGTGATACTCGTGTTTGGCCCGTTGTACCGCGAGTCTCGCGCGATATTATAGACGAAGGGGTTAAAAATAACCGAGACAAAGTCGTTCGCGGTTATCAGTCCACCCTGTATGTATATCGTAGAGCGCATTTCCCGGCGCAACGTTGAAATATCACGGATATCCATAAACTTTGCGATCCGGCACCGCGGCGATTTGTCCATTCAGCCTAATCGCGCGAAGAAGGCAATCTCGCTCTCACCTGGTCTCGAGCAGCTCCGGTCAAGCTCTGAACCCTCTGCAGCAAGCTCTCGCGGGTCTTGGCCGGCGAGGATGGAGCGCTGGTGGTCCTCGATCCGGGTCTCAGGTTCAGGCTGAGATCGCCGCCGACTGGTTGGGGTGGTCCTGGCGGTGGTGCTCCAGGTACCGGTGGCTGGCTGGCCGGTGGAACTGGCGTTGGCTGAGACTGCAACGGCCTCTCCGGTACCGCTTGATACGATTGGGACGAATCCCTGGCCATGGAGGCCAGCCCGGAGTCTGTGCTTGGTTCATCGTCGAGCTCCGAGCTCAAATCTCCTGACGAGAACCTGGAAGACAAACTATGGTGGTGGTCGTGATAGTGGCAATCGGTCCGATCGTCCAGCCATTTCACGCTTTTTGCATTCTTATTTGCTCGGTTGCTTTCGTTTTACACTGCTCGGGTATATAATGCACATCGAACAGCCAGTGCTCGGGGTATATCGCATAGATGGCACGTTGGCAATGATGGACGATTGCTGATTGCTGGTTTGCATGCGTGACACGGGGGTGATGACATATTCGGCTCTGACGCGCGCAGCCCGTAGTCGGCTGGCGTGTCTTTCAGTGACGGCCATATCGGTTGCCTTCGCGTGGAGACGCTTCTCCTCTCGCGGACAATCGGCTGACGATCGGGTGACGGGTACCCGATGGTCGTGTTTCGCTGCACGGTAGTACAACGACTGGCAGCGAAGATACCGAGTTCGGCATTGGAAAGCTCGAAATAGTCCGGGGCACGTATGTTTACGGGCCCAAATGACGCGAAGCGACCACGGTAATTGGACAAAGGTCTGTCCAGAACGGTGCGAGTCGCTCGGTGAACGATCGAGATGGAAAATGTCGGGCCTCAGGCTGTGTTTGCACGATGCCAAAGCACTTTCTCCCACAATTTGCATGCACACATCGAGATTTGCGAAACATGGAAAAACATCGGGATACTCAGCTACTCTCCTCGCGACGTTAATATCGCGTAATCGTGCTTTAATTAAATAATGGCTGGCATGACGCAGCGCATGAAATAATCGCTCTTCCATCCGCGTCTCGTGAAACTCGAATGCCGCTGTTAATTATAGTTCGATGGATAAATCAGATAGCCAGCCCTAGATTAATCGAACGAGCCATTTATCCGCGCAGGTATTACGCGACGTATATCACCGTTGGCTACACGGCATGTCCGTTGTAGAGACTCTGTATCGAGATGGTTGTCCATTATTTTAGGCTTGCTATTGTATCAGTCCGTGTGTCCGTATTCGATGAAAAGGCAGCGACAAATGCGCCTGTCTACGAGCATCTATCGTACAAAGACCCGAATTCTTTGTCTCCCGCGTTGCCTACGCTCGCTCGTACCGTTACCAACGAATCGGAAACAGTCGTCGACAACGAGAAACAGCGAGTGAGGATTTTACTCGCCACCCGAGATGGTCCCTTGCACCTGGTACTCCCGAAAAAGCTCAACGACCTCTCTCGCTTTGGCACACTCCCGCGAGCTTTTAATCCGTGAACAGCTCTCAGCACATTCCGAGCTAGGCGCTTCGTTACTAACGATATCCGCTAGCTGACTATTTCATCGCTACTTTCTACGACAGTTTCGTCTCTCGTTGACCCGTAGAAAGGAGAGACACTTGGTCGACGATCAACGTTAAACGTGAGATACCGAATGCGAGATGTGCCGTGCTGCACAATGTATCAACGTTGCAACTATCTACCCGTAGCGTGTATTTAAATATAACATCTATTGATAATAATAACTAAAGTGGCATGATAAAAATACGTCGGTATATATAATTATATCCCCATCTCGACAAGGATCCACGTTAATTTGATAAAACGCTGAATACGCGTTTCCCATACCTGCAGAAACGAAAGGACCGAGACCAGTTACCAATTTCACCGTTACCTAACACCAGAACTATCAACCTTTAATCTCCTATCTAAATATAACCCGCGCTAATAATAATAATTAGAGTAATCCAACGAAATTAAACGGTCTCTCGTAATCGCGACTCTGCTGCTAAGGATCGATATCAATTTCGTCGAAATTACCTACGGGCTTGCGTGTAGTTCAACGATTAAAAGTCTGACAGCCAAAGAAACAGGTTCATCTCGAGCGCACGGTAGCTGCGACGTCGTCTCGGGCATCTAGAAATCTCTCTCTCTCTCTCTCTCTCTCTCTCTCTCTCTCTTTCTCTCTCTACGAGAAACTTTCGTACGGTCTCGCTTCCGAGTTCCTCGAGTCCGTTTGGTCAGCCAGAAGGGGGGAAAGCGTGGAGGAATTTTCATATAGCAACGTGTTATCGGGCATGCAAAGAGACAGGCGTCGCGGTTGGACAGCGATGGCTGGCACTCACCTCCGTTTCAGGTAGTTAACATTGGTAGTGAAGGACTGTCGAAAGCTGGAGAATGAAATGTTGCCGGGTGAAGGAGCTGTACCGCAGTATTTGGCGCAACCGCCGCGGCCGGTAATCTTGCTGGCTTAACACCGACCACGTCGCCCTGGCGAGAGCCGCAGGATCGCGGATGGTATTCGTCAGCGGGATTCTCGCGGACAAGGGACGATCCTCCTGTTCTCCGAGATGGCCGGGAAGCTGGGACAGGGTGGGTGGAAGAGGATCTGTCACGGACACGTTCGCTCGACCACGTTCGAACGGTTCGGTGTGTCGCGTCCTTTGCCGAGTTGCGTGGAATAACGCTTGAACGTAAGGTAATCTGAAAGGAAAGGGCGAAAGAAGAGAGGTGAGGAAGGAGAAACTAAACGATCCAAGTCGAAATCTGCAACAGGAACGGTGGGCGATGGTTAAACGAAAGTCCCTGGTCATCCGGCGAATGTTGATCGACGCGAGATGAGAGCGTAAAGAATGGAAGGCCGGTCAATGCAAGTTCGTAAGCACCGCCTTATATAGAGGCTTACGACGAGCCGGTTACGTAAAGGCAACGAGAGATAAAGCCTCTCGCTATACAGACACGGATAACGTATTATCTTGGGACAAAAGTGTCATTCGAGTTTTCAAAGCGACGTCCTTTTTTCCCTTTCAGCGAGACGCGTATTTACGATACTCGAAAGCACGCGTGAGATGATCATCGAGAGGCTTGGAAATATCTAACACGAGAGAGGGAGAGAAAGAGAGATGAAAGGTGAGAGGGAAGATAAATTTCTTTTATTTTTTTCCCTCCCGTTCCTTTTTTCTCTCTTTTTTTTTCCCACTCTCCGTTGAAGTATCGCTATAATTAAACCTGCATGTTCTCGGTAAGGAACAACGAGCTCGTGCGAGGCCCGCGATAAAAACGTCCACGCGAACACTCGGAGCGCGCGAGATGGAGACCCCTCGCAGAAATTTAGCACGGCAAAAGTAGAGCTTGATACTCCGCTGATCGATACGAGGCGGCGTGACTTTACACGCCGAAGAATTTTTACCACGACGGCTCGCTTCCACGGGCCACGAGCGTGATTTCACCTGCGATATCGGCATCGCGATACAGACGACCCATAACGAGTTATTGCCTCGCGCCGCGTGTTTAACCAGGCTACTAGGAAACGGAGGGTTAGCAATTTGTCCCCGCGTGTAAAAGAACGATAGAGGCGAAATTTTCGCCCAAGCGAAATCACGCTGTTGTTCCGTGCGAGCAAGCCGTGCGTGAACGCTCGGCGTCGAATCGAATATTGCGCGGAGGACGAGGAGAAACTGGCTACGCGAGAAGTTTCGAGCAAGAACGAAGAAAAGTTTGCCGATTTCTCCGAGGTCGGAACTTGGGCCGCTTTCCATACGAGAGCATTTTCCACTCGGAATGTCTCGAAACTTTAAACTAACGAAGTTCACCGCTCCGCGCAACTTGGCCAACAGTCCGCGTTCAATTAATTCCCGGTGATCCTGCGGGCCTAATTGAATTTCAAATCAGCTTCAACGAATTTCCAAGCCTCGCTCCGATCTTTCTCACGCGGTTTTTACACCCCTCGATTCTCCGGCAACACCCCTCGCCCCGCTACGCAGCATCCCTCTTCGCCGATGGAATTTATCTTCCGGCGAAAATTCGCGAAACTTCGCGCCGATGAATTAACGGACCTTGACGATCGCTTCTAATTTTAATACCACGATGGCGCGAGTTTGTCGCGAGGGGGCGAAGCGTGAGAAAAGTTTGGAATCGATAGATTTCGTGGCGCTCCCCCTCCTCTCCTCTCCGAGCTTCTCGACTGCGTAACGCGCGACATATTCGGAAATCGCGTATATTTAATCCTATTAAGCTACCCTCCTTTCCGCCCGTTTAGCACGTCGGGGATAATTTGCGTAATTAATCGGGGCGAAACGCGTGTACGTAATTACTTCCTCGCGCGTTCATATTTTCATAGATCTACGCCGTTCGCGTTCTCCCTAGGGGGTTTAGCTTAGACCCTAGTAATAATCGATGACGGAAGAGTCCCTAGGTGTTAGGAAAGGACAGGCGCATTGACCGCCCAAAGCTGCGCACACGGAAACGTGCACTTGACTGACAAGTTGTAAAATGAAAGAAATACTTGCCATTCGATATCGGATTCGCGAGTCGTAAGAGCTTATTCACGCTGGTACGCGAAGCATGTTGATTCTAATCACGGAATACGTCGATTAAAATTGTTTCAAACGAGCGTGGTACTTTAGTTGTCTCGTTTATCTCGTTTCAGGCACGAGACAGTTTGAACTATTACCCCGAGTACCGATATAATTGTAACCAGACATTCTATTCCTCGATTGCTTTCCCTCGTCGAACTGCCCTTATCGAGCTTCTTCGCTATTAACGTCGCGCAAACCGAGTCCGAAGGAACTCTTCTCGCATCGAACTGAAAGAAAGCAATCGAGGAAACCGAAAAATTGAAATCACGGAGTAGAGACGTCACGTGAAAATAACGTGCAGCTCGCACGCGAGAACGATAGTGTCGCTCCGTGCACGCTAGGAACTGATATCACCTACTCGACGTAGCACCGTTCCGTTCATAAGCTCCCGCGTAAATTCAAACCGAACCCAAACTCGACTAATAATTTCCTCGATGCCAAATCGACAGTACGTAAACTCGTCGATCGTTTAATCCCCCTGTCGAATGATTTCCAACCCTCGACGGAACTACTCTACTCGTCTCGCGACGAAATCTCTGTCGTCGACAGAGTCGGGATTTCATCTACGCCAATCAGCGAATATCTCCATCGACATCCGGTGCAAACCCCACGGAACGACGAGACAGGAACGCGAAATATATATTCTCCACTTAAAAATCAATTCCCCATTCCCTTCGATCCCCCCGTGACCGTTTCGAATAACCCGTGGTCCCCTAATCGACAGCAGGAGCAACCACCACGGTACCACGAAACACGAGCTACCGGGAAGCAAAAGAAACTAACGGTGGAGTAAAAAATCCGTAATCCAATTCACTTGACCTTCGAACAGCCGTACAACCGAAACAAATCCGCCGGTCGTTAATTCTACCATGGACTTTCTCCGTTAGAGCACACTTAGGAGCAAGGTCTGAGAAGCTGGTACTCACCTGTGTCGCGTGCGTGTACTACCCACTAGTTTGCCGGTGAAGCAGTGAGCCTCGGCCGAGGATCGCGAGGGTGTTACCCGGAGGGTTAGCTGGTCGATAGGTCCGCGTCTGCGCTCTTCTTATCATCCCTCCTCCGACGTGTGGCGAGCTAACGACTAGGGGAAAAAGGGACGAGCCCCTGTGTTTCCCGATATGCCCGGTCCCGGTTCTCTCGTGTTTGTACAGGGTGACGTTGTTCCGTGCACATCAAACGCGTTCCACCTGCTGGCCGACTGAAGATGAAACGTCAGACTGCACACACCGCTAACGCGTCCACGACCAGTCGATGCATCCGGGTCCCCGGGTTCTCGTGCATCCCTGCACGATCGACACCCGAGACTCGTTTTTCAACTTTATTCGCTATTCTTTTCCCTCTCGAAAACGAACTACGGAGACCGTTCGACTGGAGGAGCGCCGCGATACCGAGGGATGAAAACAGGCAACTGAACCCGGCAATAATATTCTTGCATCACGTCGGCAGCCTTCTCTTTACCCCGATAGCGTAATAATTATAGAGAGGCTGCCGGTGAGACGTTGATTTCCCGGTTTCCTCTGCCGCCAGTCCACTCGACCGGCTGTACTGTTCCACAGCCACGGCGGGCTGCATAAAAGAATTAATGCAGCGACCCAGTTACTCGCGATTCCTCGGCGTTGCACTTACGGAGCTTTTGTGCCTATGCAGATCGTACTTTGGAATCTTTCGGGAGATAGGATTTCCATTGTTTCCCGCGACGGTGGTCGGTAACGCACGGCAACGAATTCCCTTTGAATAAAATTTCTTCGTTTACTCCCGGTTTTTCAGCGTCGCTTCGCCGAGAACGCGACGGGATTGCTGCACGTACGCGTATATTCGCAACAATATCTGTCTGCGAGCACTACCGGAGATGCGAGATAATATTCAGCCAGAAGACGCTCTCTGGATTTTTCTTTTTCCCTTTCTCTCCGCTTTAGACCACCCCCGTTTCTGCCTCTCTTCTTCCGTTCGGTGGCCAGGAAAAGAGGGATCAGAGCGGCGGTTCGTGGGAATGTGGGTCGCAAACATTTTTCCGGGGTGGAAAGTTTGAAAAGAAAATACGGACGTCTGGATTCTCATCGAGATTACGGTTCCGGCACCTCGTGTCAGACGTGCACGTCTCGTTAACGGAAGAAGCCGTGAATCGCGGAGGGATCTTCTTCTTCTTCGTCGGAGCGTTTTATTTCCCCCGAGTTAACCGAGTTTCCCCGGCGGACTAATTAAACGAGCACTCGGTAGGTCGTAGGTGAAACCGTGTTAAAAGGTAGGAAAAGTCTCTGGGTTACGCGCGCGTTCGATTCTTTTAATGGGATCCGAACGATTATCTCTAACCTCGTTACAGACATCCACGGGGACTCGATGAATGATAATTTATTCGATTAACCGTGGTGGCAGGATGCTCGCATATGATCGTGGGAAATGTTGGAAAACGTAATCGTGCTTCGTTTCGACACGGATGCATCGGTCACGCAAATGCTTTCCACGTCAGCCAATGATCCTATAAGCTCTGCCTATTGTCTCCGATAGTCGCCATTGTCCGCTTCGTGACAACTTAAGAGGTACTGCGACAATACCCTTACCAGCGTCACGACTATCATCGACAGTACCGTAATTCCCGCGATCTTGGTTCGATCGATGACCGTTCGATCGATCCTCGGATAAAATTCGTCGGATAAAATTACCAGCTTGCGCGAATCTTGGCGCGTGTAATCGATCGAGAGGAGAAATTCCTCTGCTTTCATCAGCGATGTGCCGACGAGCGAGTTCTCGCGTAGTCAGCCTTTCCAAAATTTAAGCTTTAAAGCGGATCAGCCGTTCTACCGGACGACATCTACGTCTGACGGTTTAAACCCAGAGCGATTGTTAAAAGAGCGATCGATTTCTCCCCTTTGGGATGAAAATCCGCTTCTTTCGTACAAACGTCGTTCCCTTTCAGATTTCACGAGTCTATTCGAAAGAACGCCAAAGGGAATAATGGTCGAGAAAATGAAATTTATACGTTTATCGAACTACATTCAGCGTCTAGGGGAAAATAGTAACGAAACCCTTTCGGAGAACTTCGGGAACGTTCTCGAACTGGTGAGCTGCGTCGGTAAAGCGGGTCACTGCGCGGACAAGGTATCGCTTGCACAGTGCTGGCCCCGCGCGGTGATCAAGGGAAGCACGAATGGCTCATCGCTGGATTCGGAGACACGAATGCGTGGATCGCATACAACATCGGATGAAAAGGGAATGGCCGCTGCGGCACGATCTATCCCCACCAAAAACGCTGAACACCTGAGCGTCCCTGGGGGCAGCTCAGGAGGAACAGTCATTATTGCGCCAGTATAACATTCGCTTGCAGTTCCCTTGAACGAGCCATCGAGTTTTCGAGACACCATCCACGCGAGATTCACGATTCACCGTGAGACGATCGACGGAGCCTCGTTGTCGCAGAGGGAGAGAAGAGAACCGCGTGGCCGCCTCGAAACGTCGATCTTCGTTCAACGCGTGCGATACGATGAGATCGTTCTCGGGAAATAACGAAAATGTGACGTGAGACTGGCCGATAGAGAGCCTTGGCAAGAACGTGACACGTTTCGCAGTCGGTCGTTCAGTGTGTGGCACGCACTCCGCCAAAATGCCAGTGAGAAGGACCAATTTCCACGCGTTCACCAGTGCGCTTGTGTCGGTACTGTGCTTGGTCCTGGTGGCGCTTCGTGTCGGCCAGGTAAGTTCGGCACTGTCCAGCCACGAAATTTCACCTAGGTACCTACGTCTCCGCGCTGATTTCCGCTGCATGCGCGATAAATCCACTCGGGAAACTCTTGCGAAACCCAGGAATAACTGTTGTTCTCGGAATATCTTTAAATAGGGATATAACGTCGATTCGGGATCGAAGAGATGCTGCCGAAATATCGGACAGTCGAAGAACAACTCGGAATTTCAGGCAGTACGAATCTGTTCGGTTGACGACGACTCGAAATAAGCCGTGGATATCGCAGGACGTTGATCCGCTTCGGTATCGCGAACTATTAATTAGACGCTGGTGGAAATCGACGTTGCTGCGTCGCGCAGTAAGTAGATCATAGATAGCCCCGCTGGTATGCAGGTTTAATGCAGTTGTACTGTTACGTACCAGTATCGCTGTCGTTTATTCGTCTCCGTATCGTCCGTCACGCGCCGAGATGCGCGATACTCGCTCGCCGCTGGACGAACGAACTTTGACGAAAATACGTGGAAATCGAAACGGTAGTCGAGTGTTAGCTATCTGGACGAGATAACGCGAGATGCATGTAAACGCGCGTTCCGCGACGATAAATCGCCGCGATCGAGCGCCGCGTCGCCAGCTGACTCATTCATCTCGCGCAAATGCACCAGCGTCGCCTCTAAATCCGTGTGCCCATCCGTTAAACCGGGAAAAGGAAAAGGGCTAACAGGGAGAACCGGGGTCGTAAATTCATCGGGATTTGGAAAAATCGAAAGATTCCCGTGGAATCTCGTTCGTTCCTCTTACCCGCGGCGCGCTGCGTGCGAGAGACCGCGGGGAGATCCGATCGAACGGTACTCGAACGTAGTATCGTGGAAGCGTTCTAGGAAAAAGCGGATCGCTCGGGAATTCGCGCGCTAGCCGCGTAACTCGATACGACACGGTGATCTATCGGCGTCGGTAACGGCCGCAAACGTCGGCTTACCGCGTCGTTTCGGTGCGAAAAAGCGCCGCGGTGGCCGCGAGAAAAATTCGGATAGACCGCCCCTCGGGCTTCGCAGGGCCCGGGGTCCCCGGGGTCCCCGTGGTCCCGGTACCGGAATGCGTGTCCAGCGGGAGGGCCGCGTTGCTCCACGGCTCTCTCTCTCTCTCTGTCGTTCCAGTCGAAATATATATCGCGCGCGAGCACTCGGATCTGCGTATCGCCAAAGAGAATGCGGGTTAACACGAACGTGGCCACGCGTGTGCGTGAATCGATGAAACGACTAACGAATCGAGCGATTACGCGTGCCGGATAAAAGAACGGACGGCGCGTATGTACGCGCGAATCCAATGGCAAACTCTTTCGAATGGGGAAAACGTGCGAGTAATAATTCGTAAAGAATCGAACTTACGCGAAATTATTAATTTAACACGGGGCAACGATTTATTTTTCGATTATTTTCCGGCCAGAAAATTTTCCTAGATACGGAAGGCGAGATGCAGCGGACACCCGGTATGCGCGGCGCAAACGCGTACCGTTTAAGCGGGCAGCGGGAAACAATGATGCGCAGAGCGGAGCGGCTACGCGTCGCCTCGCGACTCGCGGCGCGGACCGAACTTTTACTCGATTAAAAAATCTATTTAACAGGAAACTGGCCTTGCCTCATACGGGGCTATCTGCGACGTGAATCGTAGATACGAGCCGGCTCGTTCGAATCCCGCGCGTATAAATAGAGCCAGCCGTGAGTCCCTGCTGCGGCGAGCGGAATTTTTACGCACGCACAATTACGCACGCGTCAGCGGCGAGAAAGGGCATCGGGTGCACGGCGAATGTTATCGAAATCGGCGATATGCTCTGAAAAGCTTGGCCACGCGAGAGATTCGAAAGCAGCTTTTGCGCAAGCTCGCCGGGAATTTTAATGGCGCTGGCCGGCAGTCGGGGCGAGCATCGGCGAATTAATTGCATACGCTTGTACGTCGGAATCGCGGAGAATCCCGCGAGAGGAAGGAATCTCTCGTTCCTTTTCCGTCGATACGCAACCGATCGAGGGCACGATCCTCGGGCTGACGCGTAATAGTAAGTGATAGTAGGCGGCCGTACCGGATGGCGCGGCCTCGCGACGCGCGATTTACTCAACGCCGGTTTATTAATATTTACGAGCGGGACACCCCCTCGCGCGACCGTCGCATCTGCGAAGAGTGACGCGTCGGGGCGATAAGTTGGAATCGTGGTGCAACTATTTTACGCCAGTTTCGTTATGCCCTTTACGCGGAGGGCTCTTACGGGCCGTACGCTGCCGCCTCGGAAGAATAGACGGCCATAAACGAGGATAATCGTAAAATCGCGCTACCGTTGTCTTAATAATGCAGCTTCCACGGCCGTTAAATTCCGGAATTTATTCGATAGTAATTTCAACGCACGTCGCCCGATTCCGCCTAACGTTAACGTCCACTCGCGGATTAATTCTCGAACGCTGGAATTACGGAGCGATTAGACGCGTGCGTTACGAATTCCCGCGAATTTTGTCAACCTAGAATCCCGAGTCTACGAGTCAACGGGGATCTCTGGATCTCTCGAGGATCGAGGAGCGAAACGAGAGGCGTTTAAAAACGAGCGTGAGCCAGTCGGTTAAACATTCGACGGCGTCCGAGATGACGCAACGGAGAACGACGCGATGGTAGAAAAATCCACTCCTTCATCCTTGCACGCGTTCGTGCGCGCGACATACCATTCGACGTCCTCGAGAGCAGCTGCGATCTCGCGCAGAAAAAGCCCGTGCTCCTCGTACGTATCGTAGCTCGAGCGAGCGCAGGAATTCGCGTTTTCCGCGAGAATTCCGGCGAACGTTTTCAGAAATCCGCGAACGCCCAAGATCCTGGCCGCGGTAAAGATCGGCGGAATTTAAAGCGCGACGACTGCCTCGCGTTTAGTCCGCCCACGTTGATCCTCTTGCGCCGAACCATCCCTCCGCGATCGTATCCTCGAGCACCCACTACGATCGTCGCAAAATCCGCCGACGACGATCGAGGATCGCGTCTCGATCCTCCACTTCTGCGCCTCGACCACGGGTATCTTTGACGCTCCACTTCCCGCCAGCCCTTGGACTTGAAGATTGTACTTTCGTATCGATTTCTTGCCGCGTCATCGACGTGGGATAAGGTTCGCGGGCCAAGTCGAGCCGATAAATCGGTAACGATCCGCGCGTCGATACCGCACCGAAGGCGTATGTTTATTGGGAATAACGTCGGACCGGTTGGCTCGACTTCGACGGGAAAACGAACGAGAAACGGAATGAATTAGAATATCGCGTCCTGACAGGACGCAGCGCGACACGGAGCGGTTTTATCGGAAAAGTTTCACGGTCTAGCAGAGGCATAATGCAACGCGCGATTAATTCCTACGCGATATTACATACGGTCGGTCGACCGGCAAGAATTCCATACGAATTCGCGATCCTCTTACCTGCTCGCGGCTCGCTGGTCGAACGAATTCGCGCAGGCCGAGGCTGTCGGCCGACAGTACGGCGGGGAACGGGGGCAAAAGCCATCGAAGGATTTTTTCGTCTGCGAGGCGCGTAAGTGCACCGCCATATAGAGAGAGCGTGGCGAACAAAAACGGGCAGAACCGTTGCATACTTTTCCTCTCATCGGCGTGTCCATTTCGGGAGAACGAGCACGGGGTCCAGATAGCCTCTCTGCCTACGCCACGGCGACGGCCTACGTTCGCCCGCGATAATATGTCTTTCCCTGGAGATTGCGAAAGAGCACGGGAACGGCCACGAGGCAACGGAGAGTATCGACGATCCACCCAACGCGCGACCATAAGCACTCGCGGTTGGTATGTCATACGCGCGTTCTATCTGCATCGGGGATCGAGCGCGTACGCGACGCCGGCCACACGGAAGCATAACGCTCGCGGTATTGTCCGATTTTAGTCCCACGTCGCGACGCCGGTCGAGCATCGTCGCGAATAAAACCTCCGCTTTATCGCGATAACGCGGTGCAAGCTTAGGTGGACGCGATGGGGCAATTTTTCTCCCCGTAGTCCGTACACTCGATACCACAGTCGGTTAAATTAGCCTCGGCGAGAGCAGAATCGGCTAGACTAAAATCTACGAGCCTCGAAGCCGCGATCTCGGAATCCGCGGGCACGAACTCGACGAACGACCACGCTAACGGACGTAAATTTGCAATTACGATCGAATCAGTCGAACCCTCGACTAATCGTACCGGTGGGAAAATTAATCGCGTTATCGGAATTTCAAAAAGTATAATACGCGTTTCGGTTGAAACCGACCAAGGTTGCCTGGACGAAATATGGCCGAACGGTTTATTACCATCGGTCTGGCCTGCTCTTTTTCCCTGGCATCGCCGGTGCTTTCGAACCCGGTACCAAGTTCTTTTACATAGGAATGCAGATGGTCGAGGCTACGGAAAGATACAGCGTTAACGCTGCGAGGCGTTGTTTTTTCATCGATTTGCATTGGTAAATTCTAGAATGATCTGGCCGCTGGGAATCACGCATCGCTTCAGCGTTGCGAGCCCGGGCTGTGTATCAGAGCGAACGGAAACGGTGCTAACGATGACGCGTTCTAACCAACGCGTGCATACTATCCGCCGTACTACGTACAATACGCGATTTCACCGCTACTCGCGGCTCCATTATTTCCACGCTTATCGAGATGTTACCAAACGTCAATGAAAGTGAATACGTATACAGCGAGCCGAGCCATCTTTTCCAGCCGACATCGCGTTCGCGTTAATACGACCATCCTCTCGGCGGAGGATCAATTTACCGATCGAGATCCATCGCGATCGCGATAACCGCGAGCACCGCGTTTGTTATTCGTCTGTGTATAAAAGTTGAGGATCACTGCCGGGCTGTGTGTCATTTTCTCAGTGGAAATTACACCTCTCGATACGTATTACTATGTTTCTGCAGTCCGATCAGATCTGATAAAGAGATTCGATAGGACGTTAGCATTCGGTTATAGTCGAAGATTGAAGGTTTTTAACGTGCCATGGCACCGGGTCTTTTG